CTGGTTCAACTGCGATTGTTTGGCGAGACGGAACATCCAAAGCGTTTTGTGTGGTGTTGTCACTGTGAATAAATTTTTTCCAGTAATCATATCCTACGTAAAATGGGAAAGCAATGCTGCTGCTGTTGCAGCCCTATATCATGCGTTTCGCTCCATTTATAACCTATGAATGCGTTGTATCCGGTGGGATTTTGTGCTGCTGCGTTCATCTGTCAACGAGATGCGATTTAACTTCAAGATTATGATCGCTTTTTTCAGTTTGAACTGCGAAAAAAAGTGAAAATTTCGAAAATTTGATTGATGATGGCTGCGTGCTGAATTCCCAGATTAGCAGCAGCAGCAGCCTCTGAAATGTTTGAGATTTATCGATGTGGAATTTTTGGCTTTGAGATTTTTGTTATTATTGTGCGCTTATCACCGTTATTATTACCATTGGGCATAGTCTGTGTGTTGTGAGTACGAATATGTTCAGTACGCTATTGAGCTGCCATAGCAGAAGCGTATGTAAGCGAAACGTTCAGGTGCAGCGCTATAATTATTGTCGTTATTATATTTGTTATTATTATTGTCTATATATTTATTATAATTATTATTATATTTATTATTAATATTATTTAATGTTTATTATTATTATGGCATCGTCATTCTTTTAAGGAAACAACGAGTTCGGAAGTGACGCCACCCAAAAACCTCGTGCAAAGCGTGTCCGTAGCAGACGAGGCGGAAAATAGCACGTCAAAAGCGGAGGAGCAGACAATGACCGGCGCGAAAAACATTCAAACGGCTGAAAGCACGAGTACGGGTGGTGCTCTGCAGACTGTTGAAAGTTTGTTTTTATTATTTACTATTGTATATTATATGTAATTTATTACTATTATTTTCAGACGTGCGAAAAAAGTCTTCAACTCAGCTGGAGCGTACGGTCGGAATCGAGACTGGTCGTGAGACCCTGATCGAAATCGATAAGGATGGCAAAGTTAGCATTATTTATTATTATTATTATTACTATTCATCATTATCTATTATTTATTATTATATGTGTATTTATACAATTGAGTTGCAGGGCCTCGGTCTAAGCATCGTGGGTGGATCGGATACAGTGCTGGGAACGGTCGTGATTCATGAGGTTTACCCGGACGGGGCGGCCGCCATGGACGGGCGTTTAAAGCCAGGAGATCAAGTCTTGGAGGTAATAAATAATAATATTATTATTATTATTTATTGTTTGTGTAATAATATTAATAATTGTGTCTAATATATTATCGTTATGTTTCAGGTGAACGGAGTTTCGCTGCGTGGCGTCAGTCATGAACACGCCATATCGCTGTTACGCAGAACGCCCGCGAAGGTTAGAGCGCTTTTTTAATTTCAGTAATGATAATTCAATATTTTTGATTTTGTTTAGTGAATTTTTTGATTTCAGGTCATCGTATCGCGTTAAATATATCAATTTCAGGTCAGATTGCTGATCTACCGTGATGTGAATCTGCAGTTATCACTGCTGGATCCGACGCAGATCTATAATATTTTCGAAATGGAGCTAACCAAAAAGCCTGGGCGGGGCCTAGGCCTAAGCATTGTGGGCCGCAAGAACGAGCCTGGAGTCTACGTGTCGGAGGTTGTGAAGGGTGGCGCGGCCGAGGCGGACGCACGCCTCATGCAAGGCGATCAGGTGCGTGCGTGCGTGGGTGGCTTGTTTTATTGTTATCGTGTTTGTTGCTTATTTGATACGTGTGTATAAATAAAGTTATTATTATTATTTTCTGTGTTTATTATTCTTTATCGTAAATAAATTATTATTTTTATTAATTATTGTTATTATTATTATTGCAGATTCTGGCTGTGAACGGGCAAGACGTGACAAATTCAATGCAGGAAGATGTGGCCGCTATGCTTAAGGTTTGTTTATATTTATTATTATTACTTTTATTATTGTTATATACGTATTAATGTATACTTATACAATAATACTATCCGATTTAGACATGCACCGGACGCGTGGCACTACGCGTGGGTCGCTGGAAGCTCACGGAGACGGCGAATCGCGTGCACGCGGCTGCCGAGGCGGCCTATGCCTCATCGGAACGATTGGCCAAGGGCACTTCTACTGATAATATTAATATAAATAATGATAGAATTAATAATAATATTAATAATAATCAAGATGAATCTATGCAATGTAGTGGTACATTTGCGTTGCAATCTGCAGGTGGGAGATAATAATAACATTAATGACAATATCTATAATAATATATGTGGTAATATATATAATATAATTAATATAGAATATAATAAAAATGGAATATTGTTGCAGGGGCTGGTCACGAGGAGCCAAAGCAAGTGCCGCCCCCTCCCGCGCCGAGCAGACCAACGGCCGTCGTGCCGCAGGTGACCGTCGAGGGGGGCGTGGCCGAGGCATGTCACCATTCGCCCAACTTGATCCACTCCGACCTATCGCCGGTCACCGAGGAGCCGAGCAGTGGTGGGGATCAGGTCATTATTACTATTTGTTATTGTTTATTGTTATTTTTGTTGAAATTTATTATTTATTGTTCTTGATATTGATGTAATTATGTATAATGTATATTTAATAGTTCAAACGGTATATATAGTGGGAAATAGGTATGAATAGTAGCAAGAAGAGTTAGAATAGTAGATGGAACAGTAAAAATAATAGAAAGAAGGTATAGTTGGTAGCGAAAACCTATAAAACAGTCTTAGTAGTATAAAATAATAGCAAAAACAGTGAAAATAGTATTAGATAAGAGTAAAT